AACGTCAATAAACAGAAGAAATGAACATTCAATAGTTTATTAAATAATATTTAATTGACCTTATTCCCAATTAAATAGTTAAGTTTAAATATATGTATATATATATATATATATATATATATATATATATATATATATATATATATATAACGATAATTAATTTAAAAAAAAAAAGAAAGAAAGAAACTGATTACTTATCTCACATGGTGTTTAAGTGATTCTTGAAATCATATTAAATGTGATTACACGAACAATAATGACAATGAAGATAGATTTTAATATATTCTTTTTAATATAAAACATGGTTATATTTTACCGTTTTGGGTGAGGCTTCAGCCCGAAATCCTTCCTCCCAGCTGTCGTTGATCCGCCTGTGTCTCGAAATATACTTGGACAGAAAACTTTCCAGTAAAATACACACTAAATTAAAAAAAACAAAACAAGAACTTTACAGATGGTCGAATCTACTGTCACATCTCTTAGATTACAGGTCTCCACTCAATATTTTTTTCTTCCCTTCCTTGCCTTTTTTAGGGTATACGGGTGTTTTATCGAGCCAAGGGGTAAGAGCGGGGGATTAAGACCAGAGTTCAAAGACCCCCTCGGTACCAGGAGGCGAATTCAGAATTATTTAAATCAAATTTTATATATCAGGTTGCCTGGCGACGGCGGTTCAGTGCACACGCATTACCCAGCTCGACCACCGCTCCCCTCTCCTCTCAACTTACGAAATAAGCTATTAATGTACACCATCATACTTATACCTTTTTTAACATACGGGGCAGAACTTTAGGGTTCCGCGAACCACGTCCACATAAACGATTCAAATCAATACTTTCAAAAATCGTGAATACATCTTGATTTATTTCAAATCACACCGTATACAACGACTTGAACACACCAACAGTAACATTCTATATGCAGAAAAAATAAACAACATTCCACACTTTAACTATTAAACATCCAAATGTTCTCCATCTTTCTTCCTCTCTGCTACCTTGTGAGTCCCAAACTAGACTAAAAAACAAAGGCCAACAGATCTGTTCGCAATATAAAGAAAAGAGAAGACAGAACGAACGGCAACACATAATCTTAATGTTGTTTGCATTTGCAAACATAATGTAAAATAAAATAAAATAAATATTTATAAATTAATAACATGTATAATATATACAATGTTAGCTGTGAATAAATTATTCTGGTAAACTTCACTTAAACTTTGACTGAAATCACTCCATGCTCTAAACATTTTAAGATATTTTAGGTCAAATGTTCAAAATATTAATTATTATTATACTTTTGATGTATATTTTACCCTTTACGACTCACTACCATGGCTTCGCTTCAAAATATAATTTTTAAAAAATTGCTCATTACAAAACGAATAAAATGCTGAGAATTTCTCTTCCTTACAGTGTGCCGTTCTAAATTTTAATTTTTAAGATATTTTAATCGAAATGTTCAAAAAATTCATTTGATTTTTGGCATAACCTTTTTTTTCTTTTAGCATTTCTACTACGGCTTTGCGTCAAGATAATTTTTTTTAATAATAGCTCATTATAAATAGGATGGAATGTTGAATATCCTCTTTCTTAAAATATACAAATCCGATTTTTAATTTCTGAGTTATTTTAATCCAAATACAAAACTTAGTCAACTCCGGCCGGCTTAACCTGAATGAATGTTTCATAACCAAGCCTGACGGCGCAGTCTCAATCAATAGCCATTATAAAAATGTTAAGTGCGCAAAAAGAAGTTTTCACTTAAATAAGTTAATGGAATGTATTATGACATAGAGGAATTAAATTCCCCTGTCGAATTACAATAGTTCATTCAATTACAATAATTAATCAGAAAAAATTTCCAAAAAAAAGGAGAAGAAAATCTTCAACATAAGTGCTCATTCATTGGATTTGATTAAGAATTAAAGAAAACATCATGTATCGAAAACAACAAAAAATCTTTAAAAAATAATGTATAATACACATATTTTATTTTTATGTGATTCATTTTCATGAAGATTCACTACCAATTGTATAATGTTGGAACCATGGATTATTTCAAAAATAGTACATTTTAGGTTTTCAAAACATAGACGGCACTGTAAGATAGCTGGAGTTGGGTCCCAAATTTCAAAAATTGCTCAAATTGGGACCCGAACTTTTTTGGTAACTCGACAAAGGTGAACCGAACCGTCAGCGTTTTAAGGAAGGTTAAACGACACGGAAAATTCACTAATCGGGTCGCTTATAGCCAAAGGCAGCCTAATCGATTTTAAGGAATTTGAGATAAGTATCGATTCTCATGTAAAAAAACCTGTGAATTCGATGATGCAATTATTATTATTTTTCTTTATTTTTTTTTACAAAAACGAACCTAAATATTAAACCAGGGCTGTGAAAATTTATTTAACTTTATCTCCGAAGCTTGCCTTTATTTTCAAGGAATATAATAAAACTTGTGTTTCTTAAAAAAATTGATTACAAGTTTTTCTAATCGTTTTATTCAAACGAAAATTAAAAAAAAGTTAATTGCAATTGTAAAAAAAAATATTTTAAACAAAAAGTTAATTTTTAAAGTAAATTTTATCACTCCGAATCTAATTGGTTTCATTCTCTAAAAAAAGCTCTAATTAATTTATTTTTTATTTAAAAACATGCTTTCATTCCAAAAGTGACACTATACGAGTTTCAATAATTTTTAATTATTACTGAAATAATCAGTTGTTTTCGGAAATATTTCCCACAAATAAAGAAATTCTAATTTTTTTTTTTTTAAAAGTAGTATTTGGTTTTGATATTATAATTGAAATAGAATATTTAACTTTTCCCGTTTCCTGAAAAAAAGTTAATTATAATCAGGGTTCAAATTGGAAATAAACGACTCAATTGTAAGTTTTTTTTTTGATAAATTGTGTTGGAATGATAAATTATCTACCATAAATGCACGCAGACAAAGTAAATTTTAACTATATCTTAAGAGTGTGAGTGTAATACTATAATACATGTAATTGACTGTGACAGAATGTAATATTTCTAAATAAACAAATAAAAAAAAAAACTATATCTTGAATAAAATAGGGCATTCAATGGTTAAGTGTCATAAAACACTTCATAACATGAATCGTTAGTTTTTGTCATATTTATTTAATAATTAATATATTTTATCAAACATATGGCCAGCGATTTTAAACGGTTTTGTAGCTAACATTTTAATAAATATGTTTAAAGTAAAGTTAGTTACTTTAAATAACAGGATCCGTAAATTACATATTATTAGATGTTTTTCTACATAATCATACTAGTATTGATCTTATATTGTTAAACAATATCCGGTAAATACACTTTATTTGGGAGAGTTTTTTTTTATATATTCAGTATTTTTAGGTAATTTATTTTCGAATTTATGTCTTTCATGCTTATAAATTATTATAAATTCAACAATTTAACAAAATTTATTATCAACAAATCTGATTGACAAATTGACATGGATTTTTATTAACTGTGACAAATAAGAAAGTAATAATTTATTGAATTCAATATATTAATATTTCGATATAGAAATATTTGAATGAAAAGGCTATCTCCAGATAATCGATCATTTAGTCCAACGAGTACCAATTCAAGCACTTGGAAATGTCATCGGGGACCTAATTCGAGCTCTTGATATACTTTTTTTTATTGAAAAAAAAAATAAATTTGGCCTCAATTAAGAGCATTGAGTATTTGAGATGTATGAAACAATCATACTATATATACAATAAAATAAAATTGTACAAAAGATAAGAAAAGAAAACTTAAAATAACAGAATAAATCAACAATAAGACAACATTAAATATATAAAAATAAATAAATTAAAAATGCATTCATACTTACTTTAGAAAATATTCTGGGACCCGATTTCAGTTAATCTCGTAAAACATATTCAAACTTAATTCCTAAGACTTAAGCTTTCAATTAATTAAAAAGACTTATATACATGACTATAATAAGCCATATTTGGACTTACCGTGTTAAGCTTTGAAGCTATACTAAACCTTGGAAATTCTAAGAAACTTTTCATTTCTATCACATACTTTTCCTCGAAAACCTTCCAAGGCGTCTAAATAGGAAATGACCTAGTGATCTTCTGATGTAGAAACGTTGCTACAAATATTTTCTTGTCATTAAATTACCATGTTTACATTTAATACCAGTATATTTCTTCCCTCGTATAAGAATTTTTATTTTAAAGAGATTTTATTAAAGAATCAAACTAGAATGATGTTAAAAGCAGCTGACAGGAGTTTCTAATGGATTATTTAAATATAAAATTAAAATCAAAGTAAAAGAAAAAACCGCTGCAAATTATTTCACAATGGTTTAGTATTTCCAAGCAATTATAGATCTAAAATAACATTACCTTATTATTTATAAAATAAAAGAAGTAAATGGTGATACGTATTAATGGCCCAAAAATGTTTTTATTCATTATTATTAATTTACTAGAAAAATAGCGTTACTTCAGTAACACATTCAAAAATCAAAAACTGAAACAAAGTATGTAACTTTTCTGTAAAAAAAAATTGAATATAATTTTTGAATTCTATGTATCTTGAAACGTAAAACCTCAAATTTTGAGGAGGGTTAATTTTGTGAATTTGTTGGTCTACTACAAGGGTTCATTATTGAAAATAATAAATCAAAAATTCTGTAACAATTATTATTATTTTACACCATTGTATGTTCAATATTTCTCCGCAACAGCAAGAAATCATTCTTTAAGCAGAAGAAAAAGAAGAAAGTAAATTTTATTCTAGGAATTTTGGTCCCGTAAGAATAACAAACATATACAATGATAATTATATTATAATATAGATTTGTCTGAATGAAAATGAAGAAATAATCAGGCGGGGGGGGGGGGAGATAGAAAAACAAACAAATGGATCAGAGCTAAGACTGACCTTCCAGATATTGTGGAAAAAGTGCTCATCAGGAAGTGGACCTGGACCAGGCAGTTTATGGATTGGTATCCAAGAGAGCACGTGAGTAAGAGAGGACGCCCGCCAACAGACTGGGACAAGGAGATGAAGAAGACCTGCGGGGGAGCATCCTGGAAGAGAGTAGAATTGGAGAGGAAAGAATGGAAAAGGATGGGACAGGTACATTACCTAGTGTGGTTACAAGAAAGTTAAATATATATTAAAAAAAGAAAAAAAAAAGAAAGAAATCGGACTCAAAACCTCAACTAAGTTGATTTTGTACATATAAGAGATTTTGTATATTTTTATCCATTGTTTTTTCATTGTATGCACAAATAAAGGTTTATTATTATTTGTCTGGCCCATAACGGGTGAAAAATAATAATTGGGTTACAGAGTTGTGTAACATTAAAATAAAAATAAAGATCTATTCTAAATATACATACAATACGATAAAATTGTAGATGAATTGATAATTATTTGTTTACAAATTTGCACGGTAAGCAATATAAATAATATTATTGAATAACTATTAAAATCATATTGGTAACATATTTAATTTTTAGAAGTATTCGGAAGACTCGTGGCTGAAGAGATGGAGAAAAAAAAATCTAGCATTATATAGGCTTTTTTTTTTCAAAATAAACTTTCTTATGAAAAGGAATTTACAGATTTGTGAGCTGGAATCTCGTGTTGAAAAAATAGACAGAAGAACAAGGAGTGAACAAATCATGAAGATATGAAGGTTTTCTGGTTGTAAGGATTCGGAAAAGGAATACACCTAGGAAATATTTCCGTCAAGAAACTCGAAATAGCCACTTCAACTGGGAATACCAACTGGAGACGTGGGAGCGCCTAGGGACTGCAGATGAATCTAACGAAACAATTCATTAGTCTTTTCAGTCTAACCTCAAGTCCACTAGACAGTCCACCGTATACTTTACGATTTTTTTTTTAAGCCCAAACACACTACATCACAAACCGGAGCCCTATCTGTATTTTTTGTTTCGCTCTAATTAAAATAATGGGTTATCCTAGCCATTGTTATCCCTTCTGAAAATATCTCCGATCCCGTTGTTTTTTATTCAAGTTTATTCCGAATTTCTCAGTATAAACTGGTAGTATAAACAGAGTTGGTATTTCTCGTTGTAGGATCTGCTGAGGGCTTCCTCACTGAATCATCCCATTTCTTGGACGGTAATGTCCCGTGGATAGTGATGCAGATTTATTCATGAGGATTCCAAATGCCTGGCTAATTCTAAGGACACACTCCTACCGCCCTTGTAGTTGTAAATGCAGTTCCCCTCCGGCTCTCTGTGGCTGATTCAACTCAAACAATCCCATTCAGTAAAGTTATTATTAAAGACAACCACGATTCGGTTGTACGATAACTAATTTATGGATGACAAATATTCAGGACGCAGTCATTATATTTTTTTTTTTATTTGTGCCGAAGGTTCAACCCAAACATGTGGGTCATCATCAGGAATGAAAATTTTAAAATACAATCAGAAATATTATCTCCCTCCCCCCTCTGACTATGTTTACCTACCTCTTACTATCTAAAAAAGACAACTAGGAAATCCTCCCCCCACCCTTTCACTTAACCATCAAATATGTCAGTATTTGAAAGCCTTCAGTGCTCGAACCGCGGTTAGTAAGAGAAAATATTACAAATTTTAATAAATGGATTATATACATTGCTTTTAGTTTGTATAACTTTTTAAATATTTCATTTTTAATATTGTGTATTTTAATAATAGTTAAGATCCTTGTACCATCAATCAGTATAGTTTATTATTTATCATTATTGGTCGTATAATATTATATCTCTGACTATATTTTAAAATTTTCAGCCCTGATTAGTGTTGCCCAAAATCGGGCCGCCTAACTGTTGCAAGACCAAGACCAGGACTGGTAAAAAAAAATCGATTTTTTATATAAAAAATAAAGCAAAACAGTTACTAATACTTGACAATCTTAATCACTATATGTTACTAATTGGTATTACGAATATACTTTTGCATTTAACTCATCAAATTTTTCATTCGGGCTTAGGTTTCTCCTATCTAAAAAAATACAGTAATATCTCTTCAGTAATTAGCTAATAAGTAACTTCAAGACTCTTGCGCAAGACTTAGTTTGCAAGAGCAAGACTCGTCTCGGTCTCGCATTTGGGCAACACTAGCCCTGATGATAACACACATGTTTGGATTGAAACGTAGGCATAAATAATTTTTTTTTATAATGACTGCGTCCTGAATATTTATAACTCATGTTATGTAGATGATGACCCACATGTTTGGGTTAAAACTTCGGCACAAATAAAAAAAAATTATAATGACTGCGTCCTGAATATTTATCACCCATGATGTGTAGAACAGTCGACTAGCTTCCTTTGATAACTAATTTATGTTAAGTATTTATATTTTTTTTTGTATTTCAACTACCTTTATAAAATATATGCAAAGAAGGATGAGGAGGTCACAGCTAGATTAATTACAGAAAATAAATGATTTTTTGCTCTAATTTATTCAGAAGCAGTTTGCTGGGAGAGACAAAAAGCTTAATCGATTTGTAAAAATCTGTGGATGATCCATGTGGAGACATGGACGTTTAACGCTGTCGAAAAAAAAATAATAGATTTCAAAGAAAAGTACTTGAAGGAATCTTAGGGCCAGTGCAAGAGGCAGAAAGATGGATGATAATGATGAACAGCAACATCTCTATGAGGAACTAACAGTATCCTTGTTCGTAAAAGTTCAGATCTTGTTCGCCTTTAAAACGGTTGAACCAACAGAGTAGCCGCCATGAAACTATACATATATGACCGAAATGGGTCACGCTCGAGACATAGACCCTAAATTGGACGGCGAGATAATGTGACTAGTGTTCTCCGACAGCTGGGAATACAATTTGAAATGTTACGTTTTGGGTTATGGGAATTTCTTCGGGATGCTACTGGATAATTATTGATGATAATTACCAAGAAGTATTTAATAAAAAATTAGTTCTACAATATATTGATTGGTCCAGAATTAATTAATTGATTTTTTTTTCTCAAAGGCTGGTTTGTGTTTATCATGCTTTCTAATTACACACATTACCTGTCATCATCATGATATAAATAGATGGCAGAATTAAAGTAACTTTTACTAACAAACCTAATTTATTTCCATGTTTAATAAAGAATATATACAGATTATATTTACAAGAAACTAAATACGTAATTCAACTAATTTAATAATTAAATGTGAAGGCATCATTTAGATGGACTATATTTATTTAAATTATTTTGCCATGAAATATTCTAACATTGGTAAATTTATTGTTGGGAATAAAACTTATCTATTATGGTATGTGAAGTGGTGTGGTTGGTAGATTTCTTCGCTACATCCGAGATTATCTCGTCATGGTTCAAAGCTCTGTCAGGATCTTCATGGTCCATGTAGGGCCAAGGCTTCAATCCACCAGTCCAGAAATCAACAAACCACACAACTTCAGTCTCTGAGCCTTTCTGTCGACAGATGGACTAACTCTTATTTCAAAATTTTTTGAGTAATACCATTTAGTGATATTTCTAGTTGGAAAAGTTATATCTATGCATACAGTGTGTAAGTTGATTCCAGATTAGATAATTGCAGTGTTGGAAATCTGATTAAACGTATAAATTTCGCCTAAATTGGAGTTAGTCACTCTGTCAACCGTAAGGCTCATATATGCCTAGAGAGATTTGAAAGTATATCTGAATATTTAACCTATAATTGAATATCGATTGTTCCACTATTAGTTATTAAACTGTTATTTTCCATTGTAAAGTTTACTTAAATGAAATTACGTGATTTTCATTGGCTTTCATGAATAGGTCAAAACTTGTCACAGTAATTCTAAGTGGATAATGTTGAAGTATCACAAAAAAAAATTCATGAAATTTTTTACTAAATTAATTTTCTAGAAGTTTCCTTTCGTTGATTTTTTGTAATAAGCGGCCGATAGATACCTAATTATTTATGTATAATATCAGATCTAGCGTTATTAAACTACATTAAGTTTATTTAAGGTTATAAACATATCAATGAAATATTTTTATATTTCACATTGTCTTTCACACAAGTACAATGAATTTTTATTTAAAACAATGTCATTGCCTTCATTCGGTGGATTTTTTCAAACTATTTTTTTTTTTCAAAGTTTATATTTAGTAAAAAAAAATCAGTTAATTTCTATGGAAACATGTGATTTCCGTTAAATAATGTTAGTTTTCAGAATTTATTATTTATATTATTTTTCTCATTCTCCATTATATTATAAAACTTAATTTATTTTATATTATGTTTTCTAAAATTCTCCGCTTCCCAACGACATATATGTTTATCTTCTGACTATTATTTCCAGAGATTCATGTTTGACCTGGATGATCATTTTTCCTTTGTCCTTCAGTTTCCAGTTATCTTATTCTTTCAAACTTCATATTTCGCCAATTTTTATAGTTACTGTCAATAAAAGAGAGCTATTTTTTCTTAATTAACCATACTAAAGGTATTTTAGAGGATGACGTATATGAACATTGGGCACTTAAGCCCTGAACATATGTATTCAAACTTGTAGCTTAGTACTTATCTTCAATAGTAATAAAAAATATATACATATTTGATCACACATTACTTTATTTTATTTTTACTCGAATATTTTAGCACCACAGATCATTTTAAATGAAATAAAACAATCATTACAGCCTAATTATATTTGCACATTAATTATTTTCATTTTATACCTTAGATTACAAACCTATTGTAAACAATTAAAAATCAACATTGGCCTTGTCAGACATAATTTAATTAGTCTAATGCTGAAACCGTTAATGCCTTGTTTAGAAGTTATTGGGTAGACACGATAGAATACTAAAATGGCCCTGTCTTCCTAAATGTACATAAAATATTGACCTTTAAAGGATTAATACTGTTTGGAATTAGCATCGGGAACTCTTAATATCATTTATCAGTTTGTTTGACGCTTTTGCAGAGTACTCATTATTATACTGGCATTTATACTAATGGTGAATATGCCGATATGGTGTTTGTGAATGATTTGCTGTTTACATGCGGTGTTTCATTTTATTGCCTAATTTTATGCTTAACAGTCAACAAGGATATACAACTTGGGCAATTCTGTTCGTTTACATTGTGAAATAAATGAATAACGTTCCTGCCATTATTAAATATCCAACAACGTGGTATGGAATGCTTTTCGTTTCAAGTGAATTATTCCTTATAAATTCCATGAAAAACGAAAAATATACATTAACAGTGTTTCAATTGACTTTAGAAATAATTCCGTATTTTTATAAAATCTAAATTTTTATAAAATCTAGCTGAATTTTGAGATTTATGATAAACATTTTCATGAAATTTAACGAACATTTGTTTCTATAATCATATAACTATTTGTTAAAGTCCCTAAACACATCAATTGAATATCCGATAGCTCTTCAGTTTCGTAGTCTTTTTGGGGTCGACGGATCGGCTGAATGTAACGTCATTCTAATCTCAGTTTATATCTCAATTTACTTTTGGACATCCGATAGCTTTTAAACTGGATGAAACGATGTCATCGATGAGCTAAGCGCTGATTTAAGTAAAGTTCTCTTTTTATAGTATGTCTGGTTGGTGATTCACTGATTCCGCAGACAGGTTCTTGCTGGATAAATAAATCCTATATTATATTCATTTTTTAACATTTTAAAACTATACCAATACTACTGTATACTATATAATAGTTTTAATTAATAACTTACTATATTTTTTAGATATAACATTTTTTTACGATATTCTTTAAAAATGTACATCTTCATACCCGAGCCCAAGTGATGACGTTATATCTATAAATGAGATATTATTTTCAAAAAGTACATTTATACTATTGAATTATATATATATATATATATATATATATATATATATATATATATATATATATGTATAAAAATTTTGTCATTTTTTTTTTATTATTATTTATGAAATTTACAGCTGTACATTTAATATACATTCAGCAAATGTAATATAGATAAATACATGACATGACAAGGCTTGTAGAGAACTTATCCATTGGTAGAACTCTAATATATTTTCTAAATTAGGAGATCATGGTGCCATCTTCTTTTCAGACCCTATCCTAAATTCTAATCACATGATCCCTGATCACCAATTTGGATTCCG